TGAAAATTGTATGAAATATACAAGCTGAAAGGTAGGCGTGTCAGGTCGGTCGAGAACAAGCTAACAGCCATGTGGGTCTTTAAACCTTTATATTTGAATTGGGATTTTAAAAACAGCATCATCTGCCAAAGAATTACTTATATGGTCCAATAATTGATGATTTTATCAGATTTCAAAAAAAATCCATCTTTATAAAAAAGTTAGTTAAAACTTGAAACACGTTTTTCTCAAAACTACATTTTGAAATAGGTGACCACTCTCACTTGAAAACCCCAAGTAGCACGATATATCAACCAGATGTCACGGTGATATCACCGGGGAATGTCACCGTGACATCAGGAAAATGTCAAAATGTCCGCCTTACGGTGATATCACACGGTGACATCAAGGTGATATCACAGTCATATCACGGTGATATCATGGTGATATCACCGTGATATCATGTTGATATTTTACAGGGATTTAAAATTTTTAATAATATTTAACAATAAATATACTTTTTAGTTAAAAAAACAAGAAACTAGCAAAATGGTTAGTAAATATATACTTTTAAATTAGTTTTATTTTATTATTAAAATACCATGTTATAAAATACCAATAAGAAGCGTCGATGGAAAATTTGATAAATTTAGACCTTAGAATGATAGATATATATTTTCAAAAATGCTTCGTTATGAAAATTGGAGAACAAAATAAAAAGAATTAAGTTAAAATTTCATTATTTTTCTAATAATATGATATCACCGTGATATGACTGTGATATCACGGTGATATCACCATGATATCACCGTGATATGTTTGTGATATCACCTTGATGTCACCATGATATCACCGTAAGGCAGACATTTTGACATTTTCCTGATGTCACGGTGACATCTGGTTGATATATCGTGCTACTTGGGACTACTAAACCGACTGTCATGAAATTTAACATGCTTTTTCAATACATAATAATCTAGTCCTTGATCGAAGGATTAATTTTTTTATGCAAAATTTTTTTTTTTACAGCTGAAAAAGGACCAATTTTTTTTTAGTGAAAATTGAAAGGTAAACTTTGACAGGTCGCCATTTCGTCAAATTTTTTTTTTTTTTTAAATCGCTCCGTCAAGGATTAGATACCGTAAAATGGGGTAAAGTCGGCCTGCGCTTTAAATCATTTTAAAGTTTAACTATTACTTTTTTCCAGAAGAAATCCGAGTTTTATTAAAAATGTAGTTATAGAATTAATGTAAATTAATAAATGAAATACAATATTTAAGTGTTTAAAGCGCCGGCCGACTTTACCCGCAAACGCCGACTTTACCCCATTTTACGGTAATCTTTCAATAAATGTAAATCCGTTTGAATTTTTGATTTCAAATGAGCCAGATTACCATAGTCGTGGTTACCACAAATCATATTTTTTAAAAGGACATCACTTTGACAGGATATAACTTTAAAAATATTTAATATTTTTAACTTTTTTTTTTAAATTCATGTTCAATATATGTATTTTTAAATAATAAATCAATATTTTGAAAAAATTTAATGGTGTACGAGAAAAAAATTCATAAAAAAGATCAATTTTTTGGCGCTACAACTGCGATTGTCCCCTTAATATTAAAATAAATCATTCTTAAAACAATTTTTATATCAAATAACATATAAATTTTCGGAAATTAGGTAATGTTTGTATTGAGCTACTACAATAACTTTGTCAAACTATTAAAATAGGTGACCGACTACTATAGTTCTATGTTTTTCATAATTATTATAATTAATTTTACAATGAGATTTTATTAAAAAAATTAACAAATTTTTCTCTTAAAAACCATTGTGTACAAATTTCGTCAAGAATTAAATAGTATAAAAATTTATGCATAATTATAAATTATTAGCAAAACGTAAATGTTAAAAAATTACATTAGTTTGCATTTAAATTTGAACAATATTTAGAATCATTTTAATTTTTTCAATCGACCTCTTCTTACTAGATATTAAAGTTATTTTTTACGTAGTAAAAATAAAAAATATTAATGATAAATAGGTATATAGCAATAATTATAAACATTTTCTTAAAGTCTTTTAGGGAATACTATGAAAGCAAGTGTCATTTAAAAAACGCAGATGATACAGTATTGAAAATGGCTTACAATTTACCACTACTTCCAGAAGAAAGATATTTTGAAGGTCTTAATATCATATATGAAAAAATCAAAGAATACCCTTTTAGAATTCACACTAAATTAATGAAATTTTTTAATTACCTGCAAAATTACTGGGGAAGAAGAACTAAAAGTTTGTGTATAGGTCATTTAGTCCATAGGACCAATAATCTAAATGAGTCTGCTAACCACAGATTTTTCACAAGACTGGGTGGTTTACACCCAGGTATTTGGAAATTCATAGGTAATATCAATAATTATAATTTAAAATAATACTTATAAAATAACTTTTTCTTATAATAAAAATTTTAATTAATTCTTGTCAAAATTGTATTCCTGGCATGAAAACGAATCGATTGATGTATATTTCTATTGTATAAAGTCAATTGAAGACTTATTAAACTAAAAGCTTATGTTATTTATATATTTGAAAAAAATTTTAACTTTATAAAAATTGATTATTTAAACAAATATGAAAAATTAAAACTAATACCGTAATTTTCTATTACGGCGCGTTTGTATCAATTTCGGTGACTAAAATTACGTGTATTTTGAAGATACCTTGCCCGCCGTAATTAAAGCCAATGGAAATCTTAAAAATGTTTTAATTACGGCAAGGGAAAAAATTTGATCTCAAATAATTAAATTAATAATTATTTAAATGTGCATCTTTATCAGTAATTGTATCAAAAAAAGATTAAACAATTTTTTTTAATCATTTTGCAAGAGTTATATTAAATATAATAGTAATAATAGTTATTTTTTATGAACACACCGTAATTGCTACTTTTACTGCTACACACTTAGAATATATAGTAGTGGTCGAAGTAAATTCTTTAACTGTATCGAGGAATCAATACATTCGTCGTCTCTCAACTAACCTCGGAAGTCACACTTAATGAGGAGATGTTAAAAAAATTATTAATTTAGAAAAAGATTTCCCTTTTTTGAAAATTTTTTTATTTTCCGAATTGCAAAGTAAAATTAATAACATTACATCGTTTTCACTATGTTTTTAATGCAGAGATTAGAATTGATAAGAATAATTGTTGTTTTAAATGTACATTTCTTGAATAAATAATCATTCATTTTTGTTTCTAATTTAATTTTCCATCTTTTCTGCATCCATTTAATTGCTTTTCCTTCATTAAAAGCCCTATAAAAATCATCCGTTTCAGTGCGTTTACAAGCTTATGATCATTTCGGATACCAAAAAGTACTCATATTCAACCCAGATAGCACGTAAGCTTGCAGCAACATTGCGGCAAGCTTGACGCGCAATATTGACAACCTTGCATATCAAACTTGCCGCAGGATTACTGCAAGCTTCAAATGTCCCACCTGACCCAAGCTTGCACATGTTGCGCCTGAAATAGATTTAAATGAAAATTGCTTGCACCCTAAAATTTCTTGCAGATTTTGAGTCTCTGAGGTTCCCAGAGTATTTTCAAAGGAAAAAGAAAATAATCGCCGGAGCCATTTTCGCGAAAAATAAATTTCAAAATTTTTTCATTGATAACACAGCCCTACAAAAAAAGTATTATGTAAGCTTGTAGCAAGGTTGCTAAATAACCTTTATTTATACGTCTAACAAAATTTTTTGTTATGTTTCGTCTAATTTATATAATTTATATAAATTAAACGAAATGTTAAAATAAATTTTTTTTTTAGGTTTAAAGCACGGTTATTTGACAACCTTGCATCAACATTGCTACAAGCTTACCGTGCAAGCTTACTGAGAAATCTTACTATAATCTTATTATGCAATCTTGCGATAATCTTATTGTGCAATCTTGAGATAATCTTATTGTTCAATCTTGCAGTAAACTTACAATGAAATCTTTCGGTAAGCTTACCATGAAAGCTTGGGTCAGGTGGGACATTTGAAACTCTGAGTAAGCTTGTGTCAAATTTGCCGTGCAAGGTTGATAATATTGAGTGGCAAGATTGCTGCAAGCTTATGTGTTATTTGGGGAGATTCTCACTATAATTCGTTTACCAGCTATCGAGTTCGTAACTGAAATCCATTGTTCTGGTATCTTTTATTTTTTACTGGGTAGCGCAAGGTCTACAGTTTCCACAATTATTAATATTTTTTAATAAAAATACATATACAAGTACATTGAAATATGTACTATTTGATAAAATAAACGTCGCTTTAAAAACATTTTAAATAACGGCTGACAAATTTTTTGAAAATTTCAATATTTTTGACTCATATAAAGGTATATAACCCCTTACCCAAGAAGCACGTAATATAACCTCAATATCAAGGTAATATTACATGTAAGATTCGTAATATAACGTTGTAATATTACAGTAATCTTACAGTGATCTTAAAATGTCCGCCTCAAGGTAATATTACCGGTAATGTTACTGTAATATTAAGGTAATATTACAGTAATATTGCAGTAATATTATACCGTAATATTAAGGTAATATTACAAGAGAATATTACAGTAATATTATGGGAACATTTCTTTACGAAAAAATCTACCCATCCAGGGAATCGAACCCCGAACTCAAAGCACACGAGTCCAGAGTTTTACCAACAAGCCAAATTGACTTATAATATATTCACGTTTTTTATGCTTTATGAATAACTCAAATCAGTCTGTAATATTACTGTAATATTACCGTTAATATTACTGTAATATTACCGTTAATATTACTGTAATATTACCGTTAATATTACTGTAATATTACCGTTAATATTACTGTAATATTACCGTTAATATTACAGTAATATTCCCGGTAATATTACCTTGATATTGAGGATATATTACGTGCTTCTTGGGTAATTGTTCTTAAAAAAGTTAAATCTGAAACTAATAAAAAAATTTAATTAATATGTAGATTCATTGGAAAATGTGATAAAGAACGAACAAATTCGCATGAATAACCTTCTGCAAGGTTACATACAAGGAGAATTTATGCGGAAAATGGATATCGAAAGAGACCTAAAGATTCGTGAAGCTATTAGAAAATTGGAAAATGGATGGTAAAATTTCAATATAAAATCAATTTTTACAAATTACTTTTGTAATTCCGACAAATGTCTAATTTCTTACTTCATACATTTAGTATCTCCCCTATTGAAAATTCCTATATAGGATAAGAATAAGAAAAATTTATATCGTTGAAGTTTTTTCGCACTTTGGTAATCAACTTACTAAAAATACATAGTGAGTTTACGAAAAAATAGTATAAAAAGTTTATCCGTGTGGTAAAATGTTGTCTTATTTAAGGAGAGATTGTGGTGATTTTTTTTGAAAAAATTGAATTGTTTTTTTTTCATTTTTGGTCAGTATAACTATTTAAGAACACGGTGAAATTAGTCTAAAGTATTTCCAAGGTTTAAAAAGGATATAATTTGAGTAGCTACATGCAAAAACTCGCCAAACGCGTAAACACATACGTTCTTACTAGTCAATTAGTAGTAAATGACTCAGAGGCACTTACTGCAACTTGACTGTCATTAGATAACTTTAAAATAATCTTTTAGTAGCCAAAGAAGAAACTATGTATTGAACCGCTATCGCCGATTGTGTAAAAATCACTTTTTTGTTTAATTTATACTTAAAACACTTCAAATGCGTTTTTCTCAAAAATGCGTATTTTAAACTTTGTGAAGCTATTATTTTAAATCTATTCAATCAATTAACTTTAAAATTGGACAGAATGTTTCTTGAATATATAGGTTTCTTGTGAAGTAGGATTTTTAAAATCCTACTTCCCTTTAAAAACTTTTTTTAAATTTTAATATTTTAAAAAATTATAAACAATTTAAGTTGCAAAACTTTTGTTCTACTTTACACAATAGTTAAAATAGTGGGTACACATTAAGAAACATTTTGTTCTTTTCATTTCAGATTAACTGTTGCACTTTCGGCAGCCATTTATCGTTAGTTTATTAAAAAAATTGTTTTTGACTCTTTCAGACATGTATTATTTTATAAAAAAAATTGTAAGAAAAAAAAAATTTTTTTTACTATAAAATAAATCTTTAAAAAAACCTCAAAATCACCTTAATCTCCCCTTAAGAATAACAAATCTCTAAAATCTTATTGCATTTTAATGAAAATTTTAAAAAGTGGGGGGATTGAATTTTGACGTTTATGCGAAACTGTTTCTCTCAAATCCTTATAACCAGCACAAAAGTTCTGCTCATGAATATAGTTCTGGTCGTAATCCTAGAAGAACCAACTGGGCATCATGTTGTGAAGACCTCAGAGACTCCATGGAATGCTTTCCTACTTGTTATGGTACAGAAGAGAATAAGGCTACCTAACGGACATTTCGCCTGTGACAGAGCTGAATGTGTGAGGCATCTTGTGTAAGTTAACTTCCCAGACTTTAGAGAATCAAAGCAAAACAATGGTGATTGGAATCCAGGTAAATCTCGATTTGGACGATAAAACTGGAAACTAGCGTTTAACATCGTGACTCTGTAAAATATTGATTGGGCCTTATACTCGTTTAAGCTATTTAAGGCGCGAGGAGGACGGCATATATCCAATTCTCTTGCAGAAAATATTGCAATATGTTCGTCTACCTTTGGTCAAAATCATAAAAGCACGTATAGTTATTGGTTACACTCCTGAGGCATCGAAAGTGACTAGAGTGGTGTTTATTCCGATTTCATACCGATTGGTTTAACCTCCTTCATGCTCAAGACATTGAAGAAACTAATTGATACATTTATCAGACAGGAATGTCTGATAAATCAACCTCTACATTCAGGACAGAATGCCTATAGAGCAGGCTGTTCTGCAGAAACAGCCCTTTATTCAGCAATAAGCAGAATAGAGAAAGAATTAGACGCAGGAGTTTATAAGGTGGGCACTTTCCTAGACATAAATGGTGCTTTTTTCTAACACCTATTGTCAAGCAAAACGCAATGTGGCTATAAGATGCATACCAGATCCATTGATTAGGTGGATAAGAGGTATGCTCCATAATAGAGCCCTGCAAGCAGAGTATGGAGAGGCCAAAATAAATGGCCTAATTTCCTATGGTTGCCCACAAGGCGGAGTTTTGTCACCTCTATTGTGGAGCTTAGTAAGAAATGAGTTATTAGTAGACCTCAATAGCGAGGAATTTTATACGCAAAGCTATGTGGATGACTTCCTGATTGTTTTAAGAGGTCTGTCGTTAGATACACTCTTAGTGTTTCTTAGAAAAATGGAGAGCTAGGAGAAAACAAACAAAACTCACATCCTCTATCTGAAGATCCCATAAATTAATATGGGATAAAACAGAATGATTAAAAGAGTAAAATTCAAAGCTCGCTTTAAAACCATTATTCCTTTGAGAAAAAATTGTGAAAAAGACAGTTCAGTTGGAGGTGTAGTATGAAATACTAATGGATCAAAGCAGGAAAGAGACACAGGATCGGGTGTATACTGTAAGTCTAATACCACTAAAGTGACATTATCTTTAAGTAATTACACCACGGTTTGGCAGACGGGGGTCTGCTGTAATCACTTACGCAATGATTTATCTTGAAAAAGGAAAATCAGACAAAAGAATTAATGTTTATGTCGATAGTCAAGCGGCTATAAACGCCTTGAGTAATCCGACTACAGAATCAAAACAAGTTCCCACACACCACAAAAGCTTACTACAAGTTTACATCAGACTTTCATGTAAGTTTTGTAATATTACAATGTAAACTTATAGTAAGTGTAAGGTAAACTTAAAATATCCGCCATACAGTTACCTTACACAATAAGGCTACAGTAGCCTTACAAGGTAAGCCCACTGCAAGCTTACATGGTAAGATTACTGTAAACATACATAGTAAATTCTTTGTAAGTTTACAAGGTAAACTTACAGTAAGGTTACAGTAAGCTTACATGGTAAGGATAAAATATTAATAAATTAGTTTTAACAATATTTATGCGCAGTAGCTTCCTAGGGCACTTAAGGATGAGCAGTAAATTTTATTAAGCCGAACCCTAATAGGGTCTCTCACATATATAAAGAATACATGATTTATTGTAAATAATATTTATCATATAAAGTATAATTTATTATATGTATGTTTATAATATCGTAAGCTTACTGTAACCAAACTGTAAACTTTTAACGAATTTACTATGTATGTTTACAGTGACCTTACCATGTAAGCTTGCAGTGGGCTTACCTTGTACACGGAAAGAAGGTTGCACCTTTAATCTCGGTGTACGAAGTGACAGGTTAAAACAAACTGTAGATCATCGAGAAAGAAAGTGCTAGGCACGGGATTTTGCGCATGGCACGGAAATACTTTGCACCAGTATTTCTTGTGCGTGCACTTCTAATATTCTGCTCTCACCATGGTTTCAAGTGAATACACAGGGATTATAGGTGCAACCTCCTTTCCGTGTAAAGTTACTGTAGCCTTACTGTGTAAGGTCACTGCATGGCGGACATTTTAAGTTTACATTTTAATCTAACAAAGCTTACATGCAAGTCTGCTGTAAACTTGTAGTAAGTTATTGTGCTGTGTAAACTGGCAAATGCCTGAAGGTAATGGACCAGCTAGGTTTGAAAAAAGCTCTCATTGATCTGGGTACTAGGACACTCAGGAATCAGAGGAAATAAAGAAATGAGTATCCCGTAGAAGGTCTGAGATGACTATGGTAGACCCGGAATCTGCGGTAGTAATTATGCAAGACGCGGTGAAAGGAGTTATAGGAAGATGGTGCAGAGGATGTCATGATAAAGAGTAGGTGGAAACTATTATATGTAGATAGGTCAAGGTTCTGTTAGGATTAAAACGCAACAGAAGCTTTGCTGAGTCCCTTCTGAAACTCAACAAGATCACTGGTTAAAGCAGTGGTTATGTGGCTGACAGGACATGACCTCCTAAACTATCACCAGCACAAAATAGGTAGAAACGTCTCACCTAGGTGCAGATTGTGTGATGCAAAAGAGGAATCTTCTACACATATTTTATGTCAGTGTCCAGCTTATGCTGCAATGAGACATCAATGCTAGGGTCATGCCTTTGTAGACCCAGATTGAATTCGCAACCTCTCTGTAGAACAGTTACTGAACTTTTGGAATAGGACAAAACTCTAGGGAAGGAGACTGGGGCTGAACTTGCTGGAATTAGGTGCAATGGGTCTTGTAACTTAAGTGCCAATAAGTACTCGTACTAGGAGAATTCGGTATAACCTCGTTTTAGATTAGATGACAAAAATTAATCCCATGTAGGATCCAAAACGGAGATTTTGAGTAAGGTATTGTGGTTAATTTTTATATACTTTTATTTGGGTTTTTACATATGAAATTTACATGGATATTATTATAGGGAAATGACAAAGGGAAATATATAGGAAATTGATATAAAATAATGTAAAAGAAAATTTATAGAAATTAACATGTAATTGTAAATGATAAACCCTATGTAATTTCCTACTCCAAATCGTGTTTCACTGTTTTAAATAATCTTTGATATGGTTCTATGTGGATTCCTATAATAATGTGGGATTTTATATGGGTTTCTAAGGAGGAAATAATATGATATCCTATATAGGATCCTGTATGAGAATTTTCAATAGGAAATCTACTGCTAAAAACTAGTCTCGTCAGAGCTAGCACACGAAACAAATCGAAACCACGGCCATCTAAAAAATTCATTCATCTCACGAGTAACATATTTTTAAATATATACAAAAATGAATTTTTTATAAAATGTACTGAAAATGTTGATTAAGGAGAAGCACTAATCTTATTTTTAGACTTTTAAATTTTACCTAATTACAACAGAGAGTCTATTTAGAGGTGCTTGATTTAATGCCATTTTTCAGATATCCCACTTTAATTTAGTAGCGTACATACAAATTTTAGATCATTACAATGATTTCACATGTAAGCGAAATCAACAATCCTTACGATTGATTAAGCATCCTTTAATTATATTTAACACTTATCAACTCTCTTAAACTTCTAAAAATGCTTATGTCTTCAAATCTACATAGTTTAATAACTCAAAATGGGTGAGATATTAGTGACTTAAAAAATAGTTTAAATTTTGGATCAGTTGATGTCATTTTCAAATTTTTGACCAAGAATCAAACTTAAATAGAATCTTTGATGTAATACTACTCATAAATCGAATATATAACAATATATTTTATTTCTAGGTCAATTAAAGAATTCTTAAATCTTTTCCATGAAGATTAATAAAAGAAAGATGGCAAAGAAGATCTTAAAAATAAAATATTAATCAATAATTTATATCTAAAAATGATTAGGTAGGGGAGAGGGCTCAAAGATGGACATTTGATATAAAATTTTCGTATAAGTATATATCGCCTCGTGATTTTTTTTTTACTGATTTAGTTTATTTAGATGAAGCTTTCTATATAAATACGGATCGGAAAGAATTATTTTTCTTCCTGTAACACATATCACGTGAAGTTTTCGTTGTAAAAAGTTTTGTAACAGTTTTTATTTCAGTAGGTAAAATTATCTATATTTCTGATTTCGAATAGGTGCATATCACACTTAAATTTATTAATTTTATTTATTTTCAATATTACAGTTTCTTAATAAAGCTCTAATCCTCATAATTTAAATTTTTTCCTTTTCTGCTTCGAAATTGTGTTGTTATCAATAGAGAATATGATTGCGTGCCATAACTGTCAGAGAGAAGTACTCTTAAAGTGCCCAAAAATCTGTCGACCCTGGTACGAATGTCCGAATTGTGGCTCAGACAATTCAGCTTAGAGCTGGATTTATTGTTAATTTCTTTTAATTCATTAGAAAATAACTTATCTCTTATTAAATAAATTATAAATTAAATAAATTAATTTAATTTAATTATTCTCGTTAAAATTAATTTTCTTGCAATATTATTTAATTTTTAACATTTAAAAAATGTCAGAATTTTTAAAAAATATACTAAAGAAACAGAAAAGTGGTTTAAAAATCCTTACTTGATATTTTATTTTTATTTTACTCGTTTTTTAATGCATTTTATGAAGGTGTTGATCTTGGGGCCACTTTTTTTCAAATTGAAATTTATAACAATTTGAAAAAATTCTTTAAAAAATATTTTGTTTGCAACCTAAAATTTTTTCTTTATGGCCAAAGGATACCTTATTTATTGTACTTTCATACAGTATGCACAATTTTTAAATACAGTAAAAACCCGTTTATCCGGACTAATAGATGCAGGCAGTTGTCCGGATATGCAAAAATCCGGGTAATCGAAATTACAAAACACACTAATTTTCTTTATATAATCTTTGATATGTATTTATTTACAAACATGAAAAAAGAAATTCTTAGATACTATACATATAAATAAATTCATAAATATTCATTAAAAATTATTTTAGAAAAGTTTGCATAAATATTTTTTTAAAATTTTTAAATAAAAACGCTCTAAATTGAGGAAAAAAATACAAAAAAGGAAATGAAAATTTGTCCGGAAAAGCGGGTTTCTACTGTATCCTAAAACGTTTGAATTCTAGAGCACAAAATCAAAACTATGTCCATCTTGGAGCCCTCTCTCCTACTTTTCTATTTATCATTTCGTTGCAATTAAACTGTTAATTAAATCTTAAATACAATTTATCATAAAATAAAATCTTTAAAAAAATGATGTGTATAATTAACAATATTTAAATAAAGAAAACATTTACCAGATACAATTTTTTTGTAGATTTATAAACATAATAGATAAGAATTTACTATACGTCTTATCTTTTTTAAAAATAGAACGTCCTTCCGAAAAGAAGAAAAAGACACAGGTGAGGTTGACAAATCTTCATTAATAATATGAAGAACGATACATCCAACGCTGTTAATAAAGTTTCACCGTATTAACCAAATGATTAACCGATTTTGCTAAATAGAATTTTGATTGAATCTTATTAGTTAACCATATTGTAAATATTTGGAAATTTACCCTTCTTACCTAGAAATATTTCTAAAACAACAAGTATCAACTTTTTTCATTCTCATTTTTAAAGCATCCTGTATATTTTTATAACCTAAATGACATAAGAAAAAAAATTTAACTTCCTACGATAATTAAAATTTAAAGGACTCAAAATATAGGCGGTGACTTCCCTTAATATGTAAAAAACAAAAACATTAATTCTCAAATTAGTTTCTTTCGTAGTAATTCACTGAAGACAGTTTATTGTTGCATTTTACTAATTTTGATTGACGATTTGATATTTATTTATTATGAAGTAATAAATTATTTAAATAATGCAATTTTATAAAATTACCATTGGGTAGCGGTCCAATCATAAAACTCACACCCGTTCGCTCCAAAACACGATAAATTCGCCCAACATGAAAGTGTGCTGCTTGCTTTCATTTAACACAACTCTCTAAATCTGCATAAGTGAAAATTCACTTATTAGAAGAGAATAATCACTTATTTCAAAAATTGTAAGTCGCTCTTTCTGAATAAATGAATAATTACATATTACATAAATAAAATCTTTTCACTTACGAAATAAACGTAAAATACATTTTTCATTAAGAGAAATAATGTAGGACTCAAAGCCCTTCAGTATAAAGTACTTAATAATGAACTTAAAACTAGCTAACAATATAATTAAACGATCAAACAAACTTACCTAAAAATGAAGTTCGATCGCAATTATGTGAATAATTCTTATTCAAAAGATTACAT